GCGCACAGCCTCCGTGTCGTTAGTCCATATGCATACGTGACATCTTATATGAAGTCGCAAGCATTCTGTGTGATAAAGCATGCTGATTCCCACTTGGGGATTGATACCGGTGACGAGACCGACGTATCTCGGTCTTTTGAAGTGGGGGCTTAAGCCAGTCACTTCCACCGGGTACTTTTCAAGAAAATCAAATATTCTAGCTTTTTAAACTCAAACTTCGTTTGCCCCAGATGTACAGACTGCGGTTGAATCTCATAATACCCATTGTTGCATAAATCAGGCTCGAAGGAACTCAACATTTTAACCTCTCGTAGCCCTTGGACTGTTTTGCTTGTAGCTGTTAGAATCATTAACTCATTTTGATTCAATTTCGAATTTTCATCAATCTTTTCACTCCTTCTCCCTGCAGCGGGGCTGCCGTAGCTCTTTGCTTAGAAATGGATAAGCTAATATCACCGACTTAACGTTCTTGACAAGAACCAGTACGAGTGCAGCGGATCGCAACCCGCTGCCTCCAAGAGTACTTAAGACCTTAGTCAAGGTAAATGCGCTCTTATTTACAAAATTGAATTGACTTTGATTGTTTTAGTTGCGGCAGAGCCGCCAATATCTAAAGCCTTAGTTTTTTCTCATTAATATAGTAGATCCTATTTAATATGCATTACTACTGGTAATGTCTCGACGAAGTGGTTTTTTGTTACGGTCTAGCCACACCTCTGTTTGATTACACCAACTTGTGTAATCCATACCTATGTACGATTAAACCATTTTGTGCGACCCCCCCTTTCATACACGGGTACGCGTAGCTTCGTTACACACTCCCCCATTAAAATTGTGAATATCCACAACTCACATTTAACTGTCGCTTCATACGAGGCTCGCCTGTCTGAGACACCGTTACGTTCTTATCAACAACCATAAATATTCTCCGCTCAGTAATGCATGTGTATATGACACGCAAAACACAAAGCGTAGCTGATTTTGACGGCGCCGCGTGCAAAGCTCTTCTTTATCTTCTTCTGCACATGATGCATCTCCGGACAGTATGACCGCGGATTCACGGGAAGCATATCCTAAGCTTTGACAACCGAGCGCAACACACCGCGCCAGCCCCAAGCGACGGAATTTCTCCTCGAGTAATTGGAGGAAGTCGACTACGAGTTGAATACCCCTTTCCCGCATGGGAAGACGAGGAGAAGGAGGTGCGCCAGCAACGCGTCGTGAGCCCAGCTCGAACCTTGCAGACACGATGTCTGCTCCTCGACCGCTTGACTTCCGGAGGAAGTGATATTGTCTCCGATAGCCTCGACGAGGTACTAGAGCAGCAATTAGAGGCTGCCAACAGGGCGTCTCTGATACGCTCGTATCCATGTTTGGTCCTAAACCCTCATATGGAGTACAGCTCCCACTCGGCGGATCCCGCTAATAAAGCAAAAGACGCGATCACTCAAAAAGTCGTTAGTCTCAACTGCGTTCACACTCGCACACCATAAAGCCAAAGGAGTTACATCAATGTTTTCATCCTCGGAATCATGCACTTCTTGACCGGGTCTTGACACATTTTGTAAGCGATATCGCCATTTGACTCGACGTAAGCTCATTTCTTCATGAAAAAGCGTGCAGGAGTCATCACCACATTTACCAGGTTCCACGCATATTATCTTCAGTCCGTGATCTGCGTCTGCTGAAAAAAGAGATTATGTAAGCATATGGCAAGTCAGATCATAGCCTTCAATTCACCCAACACTTAGTCAGGCCCCCGGTTACTACACAAGCTGAGCTTGATCACCAAAACGCTCTCCGAGCTCGCTTTTTGGTACATCAATATATCTCAATGGATCGGTACCGCGCTCGTCTTTGAGCTCAAAAAGGAGGCTCTTCTAAACCCGCAATGCGGATTATTCCTGTGGTACTCACCCCTGGCGAGAACGCTGCCGATGATTATGAGCTCTTTGAGCGATGGGTGTAGCGGCACTGGAAACCTCCCTTGCTGTCTACCTCACCACGAAGCCGCAAAGAAGTGGACGTGCGCGTTGAGTGCCGTCTTAGACTCAAGGCGCAACGCCAGCTTTCTGTGTATTGTCGCCCTGTGACACATGGAATCATCCACCACGCCCCCGCGAGCTCTGTTCTCTCTCGCACGGGTGAGTCTACGATCACAGCAGGTCAGGATCATAGCTTGAGCTCAACTCACGGTCCTCCGGCTTCCCAAACTACTGTCGAGAAGCACGGGGCGCATGATGACGCTAAGCGTCATGATCCTCCTGATTATAAACGCTTACGACGTTGGGGCAGTCTTGCCGAAGTAGCACCTCAACCTCCCACGAGTTCTCGGAGTTTGGGTGTTCCCGCCACCTCACAAGATATTTGATGATACCCGGTCGATGTCGACCCACAAGGCGTTCCGCGTGGTAGTGGACGCCACCACTCTCATCGAGAAGAGTCGGCGGCGGGCGATGACGACTTGGTCGATTGCCGTCCGGTGACACGCGATGCACTTCGAGCGTGAGAGGAAAAAGTCCGTCGTTATCGGCATTTCGCCGAAAGACCGCGAGAGTTCGGAGCACTTTATGCGCCGCCTTTCTCACGTTGAGAGATATCGCGCTCTGTTGGGCCGGCTACTAGCCGTCGAGCAGACGAATATGTCACTCCGTGTGACGGTGGATGGCCTTGCGCCGTTGTAAACGGAAATCGTTGCACTCCGTGCTCAGAACCAGTTGCCTATTCAGCTTTGGGGTGGCCGAGCACCTTTGGAGCCACCCCTGCGCCAACGCCTCCGCGTTCACTTGCACCGGATCCCGGTACAACTT